CGCACCGTACGGGGCGGGGGGAGGGGGAGGGGGCTCCGGACAAAGAGACATGTGCGGGCGAGCCCTGACTGGAGCGTAAGGGCACCGTACAAACCATCTTTACAGGTGACCAACACTTTTGCCAAGCACATCATTGAATTTGTGAGAACGCGGCGGTTTCCGCTAAATCTCGAATGAAACTCCTACGAGCATTCTGACTGCTTTTCGATTTGATATTGATTATTTTTGAAACTTTTTATCATATCTTGTGAACTATTGGGAAAATGACAAACTACCTGCGACCAAAATTTGAGCGTGCATCCTTGTGTTACGCGTCGCTGTTTTTGCTTCGGCTGTATCTCTAACCGTGTGCTTTCAAATCGCCGGGAACTAGAGGCACGCGCAGCCCCGGCCCGGCCCAGGGTCCCGTAGCGATTAGCCGTGCCCAGGCAAGCGACCCGAGCGGCCCGCCTCAGCGGCTGGGCCGCCCCGCACAGGGAAGTCCCCTTCCTTACTCTCGGATACTAGTATGAGGTATGGTTTCTTTCGTAGTTTGATTACGCCGCACTTTTCGCCGACATAAGTCAAGTGAATTGTGCGATGCCGAGAGCACTCTTTGATCAATTCTCGTCATCGTCTGTGAAGTGTACTAAATGTACATGGATCAAGGGCCAAATGGCGCCAAATAGCTTCCATTCAGTTGACGCCGAGATGCTCTCCAACTCGGAGGGAGTGCACGATTGCGTGGTCCAGCTGAGCCGCACGTGTGTAGGCGGGCGGGCAGACGTTGCGCTCGCCGCGCGGCCGGCACGGCACCGCAGGGTGCGCTGCCTGCTGAAACAAAAGGCCCCGTCCGGTGGCGTCGCGTACCTTGCCTTGTCCTGGAGGAAATGACAACATCTGGACACAACCAGGGCTAGTGGGAGGGGAGGAAAACTCAAAAATCTGGCAGAATCCTCAGTCTTCGCGTTGCGCTCAAAGCATTCACATCGTAGCTCGCGCGCGGCCTCGTATGGCAGAGACAAGTGCGTGCAAGTCCAGCAGTGAAGCGTTCGGAAAGTGCTCAAGCAGGGCTGATCTGAGGGTGATCGTGTGTCCGAAATGCAATGAAGTAGTGAAAGAGTTGTGCATCTAAGTTTGTGTGTGGACGCTGTGGACGCAATTCTTTTTTGTCTATAACATTTTAATTATCGCGTCATGGGCCGCCGACAAGAATACTACTACCACCAGAGAAACAGCAGGAAAAAAATGCAGAACCTGAGGTAAGTGAAGGAGCAATTGTAAAACGTGCCATGTAAAACACTGGTTTGTTAGTGAGTGCCGGTGAGTGCTAAAGTGAAACCCTTCTATAGGTGGTCGGGAGGGGGAGAGGGCTACCGACGCTACCGTGTTGTCGATGAGGCCCGTGAGGTCGAAGTGCCGGAGCCGGCCCCCGCAGGCCCGCCTCCCGCGAGCCCGCCCCCGGGGCCCGCCGGACCCCCGCCTGACGCGCGGGAGGGTGAGCCGGAGCCGCGGCCCTGTACGCCGCCGTCGGCGCAGACACCCAAAGGAAGGGTGCTACTACCGGACTTCGAGGCTTCAACTCCAGTTACAGTTGGTCGAGGGGTTTTCCGCTTTCAAGAAGGCGAACCATCACCTGTGCGGCCATTCAGAGCAGTGTAAGTATTCGTGTGATGTGTGTGGTATCTTCCCCGTTCCACTACAACAGAGGGACTGTGCTACTGTTTGATTTACATACCACCGTTGCACCGTGTCCTTTCCCCTTGTTTCTGGTTGTTGTTGTTTTCGTTGTTGTTCGGATTTGGCATTCAGACGGGTTGCATACCTGCACGGGGCCGTGCAGTGCCGTGGTGAGCGACGGCATGCAAGCCCGCTCGAACGCCTACTGAATCCAGTTCAGTGACACCAAACAGAAAGAAGGATAAAAAGGACGGGAGAGGGCGGATCAAGGGGGGGGGGGCACCACTGCGTCATCCCTCGCCCCTGTTACGCCCTATGGGTGCCATATTATACCATATTATAAGCTTTGAAAATATTCTTTTCCAGGCCAAGAATTGTAAATGAAACTGCTCCTGCCCCAAAAGAGCTAGCTGGCCGACGAGTTGTCCAAATCATGAGCCTGATCGAGCAGATTCGAAACGAATCACGCCCTGGGGCACACGCACCAATAGGCGAGACTTGTTCATTTCTGGACAGCGAGTACGTAGGCGAGGAAAAAATGGGATTCAAATCCTTCATCAAGTTCAAATGCACCAAGTGCCACCTAGTGACGCGCCTCGACACAGACAAGTGCGACGAGAACACCCTTGGCGTGAACCAGGCCATGGCTTTCGGTGCGCTCGCAGGTGGAGGAGGGTTTGCGAACTTGCAGGAGATGGCCGCGGCTGTCAACATGCACTGCATGTCGCAGAAGACATACATCGCGCATGAGCGCAAGCTCGGGCTGGGCGGGCTCGAGCAGGCGACCCTTGAGAAGATGCTGGAGGCTGGTAAGGAAGAGCTGGAACTAGCAAGACTAGCAGGAGACCGCAGCCCCGATGGAAAGTACTGGATCCGCGTCATTGCCGATGGCATGTGGAGTAAACGGTCGTACGGCAACAAATATGATGCAAAGTCTGGGGTTGTAAGTGTTTCCTTTTGTTTGGCCAGTACGCCAGAACGGCTAAGTAATACCGTTCAAAATTTAAAGTAATATTTTTTTTTTCTTTCCAGGCCTTTATTATTGGCGCTCGTACAGGAAAAATACTGTTCTACGGCGTGCGGAACAAGCATTGCTACGTGTGCACGCTAGACCACAACAAAAAAAAGCCAGTTAGGGAACACACATGTGCCAAAAATTTCAACGGCCCTAGCGGGCAAATGGAGGCCTCCATCATTATGGAAGGTTTCAAGGCAAGCTTGGAAATGCACGGGGTTCGTTTCCTCCAACTCGTGGGTAAGTTTGTTTTTTGAAGCGAGTGTATCAGATATGGATTTAGAATGCCATAGTGCGAAGGTGGCGTTAAAAAAATTGTGGCCTCTCTCTCCCTCTCTCTCTCTCTCTCCCTCTCTCTCTCTCCCTC